TTTTGAGATTTCACACATATAAAGCACTACTGGCTACTTTGAGCTTTTGATTAAATCAACAGTGACAAAATCTGGCTGATATGCAGTCTCTCAGTCTAGAATTTCTCTTTTATGCAGACCTTTCTCCACTGTAATTACTACAGTTTTATCCCCTGAAGCTGCAGAGATGAAGACTTAGATGCACAGTATATGGTTTTCCACAGTGTTTTAGCAACACTGGGGTACCCAGAACAGAGTAAATGCAGAGGAGTAATGAATGAAAATGACTTTTCAATACTGACTACTGGACACACACACTGCTGGACTACAGCTTCCCTGTGGCTTGACTAGGGCAAAGCAGGCAAAAATTATGTTCCTACAAGGCAGTGCTGAAGAGACACTCTTAAGCAATTTATAAATGTAAAACCGAGGATGATAAACAAAAATGAAATTATTTGGATGGGGATGCAACAACAGTCACCTCTCCAGCTAGCAAAGAGAAAAAGGTAATTTTACATAATGCTCCTGTGCTGCTGAGCACACCCGGTCAGAAGCAACCAAATAAGCAGCACTTTTTGCCATGACAGTGGTAACTGTCACCTCTCCAGCTTTATTCTGTTTCACACAGCTGAGCTGGCCCTGTGACGCCATCGTGCCTTCCATTGGCTGGGCTGGTGTCAGTTGCTGGCTTAAATGGACACAGAAGAAAGAATGCAGCACCCCCCAATTGAAATTCAGGATTGCTCGGATGCATGTGCATGTGGTGAAGCAATACAAATAAAGACCACTTTTTGTTTTGCTTCAGTGAATTGTCAAAGAGATTTAGAAAGCCAGGGGATCTCATTATGGTAATACAGGTTAAATACTTTAAAAGCATATGGTGTTACCATCCTGAATGAAGCTGTCCCTGCTGGCTCCAGGAAGCAGACAATAGGCCAGAAACACATCTCGTGTCTCTGGTCCACCAATGGGAACTGGGGATTATAAATCACCACAAGAAAACATCACGTGCTATCTGGTATCAGGTAATGCCTTGTCTTTTCAATTACTATTTGACTCATCCTTTCCAGAGAGGAACAAGCTTTATCCATGTATTCCACTAGCCAAATGAAAACAGAGCTCTAGAGTTTCTTAGGGTCCATTCTTGTCTCAATAAAACAGATCTGTAAAGATGGATGACTATAGGATATACAGTACAACTCAAGCAGACATGTAGAGATGAGGAATGCTTCCAGAGAGATGCTTCCTCCCCATGGAAAAAAAATCGACAAAAACCATCAGACACAAAATAAAAACATTTTGCTTTATCACAAAACTTTAAAGACTTGTAGATATGGTCAAAAGGCCCCATCTAATTCAGGGCTGACAGATTCTTCTCTAGGCGGTGCTGCTCATTACCACATATTTGCTAATTTTCTCCAGTAGAGAGCAGCCTCAGCATTGACCTTACTAACTCCAAATGTCAGGTTTTTCCCCATGGGCACTGGAATAAATGTGTTGCCTCGTCTTGGAGCCCTAGACAATGACACAGTGTGGTCTACAAAGACCCTATTAGTAGTCCAAGCCTGACAGATGTTATCTAAGTTTTCAAAACATGTCCTAGGCTACCGCTTTTTCAAGTGGTAAGTTGATTTGTGAGTTGCAGACAGGCAGCTGAAGCACTACAGTATTTTAAAGACAGCAGAAATTCTCAGAGATGCATCAATTTCTGAGGGCTTAAGACAAGCTCTAATCAATGATGGAGCCAATTACAAATTTACTGCCTTTAGTCCCTCTCCTTCACCAATCTGCTGGAGACTGCTGCTTCCAAAGTTAGCAGATGATGTCTCAGCCATTCCTCCCCTAATCTTTTTGCCTTCCAAACCCTAAAGAAAAGTAGATTTAATTCATTTGGTGCACTATCAGGGCAGTAACATCTGGCAAGTGTGTGAGAGAACGACAGGAGATGATAACTTCTTATCACAGAAAGATTTGGCACTGCATCTTTATTGGGTCTCTCAATTTTATTTCCTCTTTTAACACCAAAACAGAGAAATTAGAGAGGGAGGGAAGGAAGGAGGGAAGGAAGGAAGGCAGGAAGGCAGGAAAATAGGAAGTAAAATAGGAAGGAAAAGAAATAAGACTAGAATTTTCTTCAGCACCAGGTTCTGGAGGTGGCTGAAGACAATTCCTTGTTTGTGTTTCTTTGTGGTTTTCTCTATAAATTCCTTTATAATGTATAAATGCATAAAAATATATTTAAAACAGTACCTTTCCTTTACAGTCATGTTTAGAGGATTTAGTGAGCGACTACCTACAGCTATCTACAGATTTTTCTCTTTCACAGCTTCCTGAAGGATACTGGAATACCTCAAAATTCCAGCCCTTCCTAACCTCCCTGCCACCTCTGTATATGCTTAAAGTCAACCCACAAAGTTGACTGAAACAGAGATGTACCTACCTTGTCCAGGAGACAAGCTAGAAACTTTTGTTTGCTATGGTTGTTGTTTTTTTTAATAATCAGATCTATTTCCTTGCAATATTTGCTCCTTCTGATTTTCCTTTTTCCCACTCATTGGGATGTTATCTGATCATGCCTGTTGACATTTTAATATCTTGTATTGTTTGCCTCCATCTCTCTAACTCTACTTGCCTTGTTTACCTGTTAAGTTCATGGCCCTGGAGAACTACTGCTATCTTTCCTTTTGCTACTCATGCATCTTTTTGCTTCACTAAGCCTTGTGAATGGAGACTTTGACAGAATAAATACCCCTTCCCTAATGCTACTCTCCTGCTCACTGCAACTCTAGTCTTCTGCTAGAGTAACTGACTCATAACTCATGCATTTTACTGACTGAACACCCTACTTGCTACTCACTACTCTAATACTTAAATCACAGCCACCTGCTATTCACCAGATCTTCTTTTCACATTACCAAAACTGCAGTCTCTTTTCCCAACTCCTTTCATTTTCCACACTGACTCACACCTCTACTTGCTTGGTAGTCTCATCCCTTTTAAAGGTTTCCACCCATTCTAATAATTCCTTACTCAAATCCATTTTCCATGTCCACAGTTCTCCTGCTTCCCTATGAATTTTAGTTCCATCTCATTAATCCCCAGCTCTCCACATGGTACAAGAGGACCTCTTACTGTGTTTGGTAGCAATACTTTTCCAGCATTACCTGCTGGTCCCCATCTCATGGCAAATGCTACAGCAGGGAGCTGATATGCTATTGCACTGTAAGCATCTAACAGAACAAAGTGCCAAGCCACAGTAGAAAACTGTAATCAATAATGTACACATCACAACATTTGCTAAGTGGTTTCAGACCTTTCACAAGGAAACATGCTATTCTGTATTAAAAATGTGGTTGAGCAGCCAGAACAGTACAGTATGTATGTAAAGGGTACCTTTGGTTTTCTCCTTCTGTTCTCATAAAAAAATTTAAAACAGTAATTTGTACCTGCTCAAATAGATATTCAGTAAGAATGATCCAATGGTTCTTCTGTACTATTTTACATGCTCATTTGCAGAAACCTTCCATTGCATATTTTATAAATGAAAAATAACATTTATTTGGAAGCAACAGAAAGGAGAGTCTGTACATGAGAATTGAGATTCTGTACATAAGCTTCTACACAAAAGGTCTTTAGCACAGATGGGCACATTCTAAATATACTTTAGATGGATGATATGTCACGTTAGAACAGACAAGGTTGAAGAGATGTCTGCAGGGACACAGCCCCAGGAAAAAGTAGGGATTAGCTTGTCAATAAAGATGTAAACAGACTGCTCTGAGGCAGCCTCATTTCTGACATTAGAGAATCTTAAATGGTTTGTTGGCGAAGAGCTTGTGCAAAAACTGGGGCAGGCTGTCAGCACCAAAATCTATTAATTCCAGTTTTTCAGAAGTTACTGCCTGTCAGGCAAAGACTCTATAACGTTATAGGGTTAAAAAACCCTATACATGCTCTATGCTGTACATAAGCATACAACAGTAAACCCAAATGTAATTCATTAGAGAAAGTTATATCTGATATTGTAAAAAGCAGGCTTAGCTAAATATAGACATCATGTGAATATCAACTACATTTATAGGAGACCGTATCTTCAAATAGGTCTATGAGCAGCATGTGCATTTATCTCAGCTCCTAGAACTTCTGTAACGAACTGGTATAATGGACTCAACGTTCAAAAGCAACTGTATCTTTAAAAGGCAGGCCTTGCTTTTTTGAATGAAAAGAATCTGCTCTTTAGGTATTATGTGAAACACTGTGGTACATAACCATTTAGAGAAGCATAATAAGCAAAGCAGCTATATAAGGAAATGCTGCTTAGAGTCTGCCAAGTGTTAAATCCCACTGAACAAACACTGGGGTGGTGCATATGGGCAGAAGACAATTAATGCCATGATGTAACTCCACCATTCCCTTGCTATAATTTGGTAAGCAGTATCTCTATTCACCTGGCCTTCCCAAGTTCTGCTCTGCTCTTAAAATACCAAAAGCCGTATTACACACTATTTCACTGCTGAATAGCTATGGTAAAACAAACCTTATTAGCATTAGTTGACCCAATGATATAGATCATAATCACTAACATGACAGCACCTCTTTCTTTATCAAGAACATCCTTCTGCTACCAAGACTACCAACCTACTAAATAAAAGAATCATAGAATAGTTAGGGTTGTGAGGGACCTTAAATCATTGAATCATAGAATTTCTCCTCCTTGCCCCAAAATTTAACAGAACTGGCAAGAGGTGTTTTCTCTCTTCCTATTTTACCAGGAGGAAAAACGTATGAGTCCAAATTAAAGGCAAACTGTTATTTAATATACTAGCACCAACTTCTGCAATGTTTTCAACCTGTCAGTGATGTTCATTCCTGAGAACATACACTCTACATATGGACTGTAAAACTGCAAAAAACAGAGAATCAGCCTGCATATAGATGTGCAGTTGAGTTTTGTATTTTGTGTCTCTAAAGATAACTGAGGAGCATTTTCAAAGATATCCTTTTCAATAATTATATCTTACCTGCATTATCAGTTGTGAACATAGGTATTCTTCAATGTTTGCTGTTTGATACACCTTTGCCATAACTATTGTTTTTTCCAAAGGCTCTCATGCTTTCTCCAGTCTCTGGCTGTAATCTTACATTCGGGACAGTAAAAATAGAAGACACTGTAAAAAAAGAGTGTCAGTTCAGAAGCTTTGATTTCTTTTTGCAGTAAAAGCAGTAATTTAAAAATACTTAATATATATGGCAAACACAACACATTAAATACATATGCCACCTATTTCTGCAAGTAAGCACAAAGTAAGTAAGTAGAAATTCTGAATGGAAAGAAGCTGAATGCATTATGATGGAAATTGTACAGTGCAAATATTCTTAGCGGCATGCATCTTCAAAAAAACCTGTTTCCAGATTGTGTATGTTTATTTGTCCTCTACATCACCATACAAAAAACACCTTCTACTTTCAAATTTCTGCTGAGAGAACTTAGAAATAAGAAGATAAAACATGCAGCAAGGTTTTTCAATAATTTGATATCACATATTACATCCTCAGAATCTTGATATCAGTAGAACCGAACTACCTTGTTTGACTTTTCTTTTTTTTAATTACTAAAGACAACTAGCTCGTTGAAAATATCCCAACAACTCAAAAATCTTTTATGTGAAGCAATCCCCTTTTGCATGAGCTAGAAAAACCTTGACGACTTCAATGTCCCAAGCAACAAGTTATTAGGAGACATGATGATAATAATCACAGGAATCAAAATGCAAATGGTTAAGATCTAACATATTAATAATATGAAAACTCATTTTACTTAGGATGCCTCAGTCTGATGGGGAAAAATCAATGACTTTCAATACTTCCTGAAAACAAACCTCCATGTAACAATATCCTCACGAGAGCTGCCACTGCATGATTCCATAAGAAAATGTGAGAGAACTAATCAGGGCCATAAGAGTTTTCTTTTTTGCACTAACAACTGGCATATCTATAAGTTTTTGGAACTACTTTTTCATCTATATGTCTTTAAAAGACCTGGGTATTGCTTTATGCACAGACCTTTGCACTTCAGTTTGACATCTCAACTTTGCATTTCTTATTCTGCTATCCTCGATAACACACATTGCTTAGAGCAGATATTTTATGCAAATAAATTAATATGAGATCTCAAATATAAAAGTAGAAAAGTGGGAGGACTGATCTTTTTTTTTAAATAGAAAATAACAAGTACACATATTTAGTAAAAAGGATTATTCTGTGGATTACTGCTCAATTTTCAGATGAATGAAAGCTATGCTTCATCATAAATTGCACTGTATTCCTAGACAAGGTGTTTTTAGTAGAACTGCACTACACTTACCTTTTTAATGTATTATTTTCAAAAATTGAACGTGTCTACCTTTTAGAGCTTATCTGGGAACTGAGCTTCCAACCCAACTGAAATTATGCCTTGACTTGAAACTAAACCAAGTAAAAAAGCAAAATTGTGCTTCTCACATAAACTAACTTTGAATATATTTTTAAAATAAACCCCATTAAAAAAATTATACTGTAAAATATTACATAGAATACAAATACATAGTACTAATGGTCAAAACCAGAACAGAAAGTCAAATGCTTTATTTTTACTTTTTTAGTGTAGGCAGTCACCATACTTCCATGAAATACTGTGATTCCAAGGAAACAATTTTCTGATGGAAAATCATTTGGCTGATTCATCCCGTTTGCTTTTCTACCCATATATGAGTCTTTCTGTCGTTTTAAGTGCTAAATCCCCAAATTTACAATTCAGCATCAGGACCAAATTGGACAAAGTATATTCCATGATGAATACTATTCACTACAGAGATTTGCAAAATCACGGTGGTGTCCAAATTAGAAAGCAGTAATTTTTTTGTACATAAAAACTCAGTATGTTTATAACTATATTTAATTAACTGTCAATAGTGTTTCTTGATGCAAAATATTAGCACAGAGAGCTAGAATCACAAAAACTGGTAATTTCACTACACAGTAAACATTTTCCCAACTCTCCAAAGTAAATGACTTCTTTGTTTTGTAAATATGTTTACAAGTATATCCAAGCCATACTAAATAGAAATGATTGTAGTATTTGATACTAGGATTGTCCTTTCTTGCATCTGGATTTATGCTTCATAATGATTATCTACTAGACACAGAAATAGTCTTTCTGTAACTCAAAATTTTACTGGAGGCATTTAGAAGAACCTTGCTTTAAAATATAATGATTTTTCATCTTTATTCTCCCCCCTTCAAAAGGTTTCACTGCTCCTGATGTTTAACGTTATGCAAAGACGTGTTTCTGCCAATGAATATCGCCTTATGGTTATGCTTCTGCAAATAACCTGCTGTGAGCTGATAAAAGGATTAATGCAGCCAAAATTCTTAATCTGTGAAATTACAAATTAAATTCTCATATTAAAAATACCACCCTGAGGTATTTTTTGTGGTTTTAATTCCCCTCTGGTGTTCTGCATACATTGTGCTTGTTAATGACTAGGACAAGACTGTCTCTGTTGGCAGCCTGCTGCAGAGTGATAATGTGTAGGCATTTACTTCACTGATAGAACTGGATTTAACCACTGACTGATAAACTAAGTGGCAAGTGGGTAATAAGTCCATATTAACAGAAAAGTACTACTGCAGAATTCAGAATTCAAAATCCTGGCTAGACTAAATCACACAGTCATAAGGATTGAGATGTCACCACTGCAGAGTGATTATTGTTTTCCATTTAGTTGAAATAGGATAAATGAACTGGCATTCTTGATGTTTCATCAGTCCTGAAGAAAAGAATCTCTTTGCATCAGTTTCTGCAAAAGCAGACTTTCAACAGCAGCCACCTAAATTTACACTGAACACAAATTTTCTGCTTATCAAGTACCACAGTCAGCAATCTGAGTGGTGGGTCACCATGGCAGAGGAGGAAACTGGGAATCTTTTGGGAGAGCAAGAACACAGTCTACAACAGTGATGGACAGAAATTATTGGTGCTATTTTGGTTTTAATGTTCATATTCTACAAATGGGAGAGTGCTCTGAAGAGGAGAGCTGGGAGTAGAGTACTTGGACAGCCAAGCCACAGAACCAGCTCAAAATGGGACTACTACAGCTGTAGAGAATTGAAAATATAAACTTCAGGAAGACAAAAGTTTTAGTACACTGCTGTAAACAGATTCTATTGTAGATGACTATTCAAAAAGATAACTTAGTTTTTAGAAGCAAACTTTTAATCAGCCGTAGTTACACACACATTATTGCATCTCTGAACTTTCCACCTTGAGGTACTGGATTTAGATCTTTTGTTAATGGATGCAAGTTTGAAAACAAGAGAACATAGAGTGCTGTAATGAAACCATGCATCTCTTCACCATCTGAGTTAAACCAAAATGCTGACTGCTATTCCCTTGTGAAGCCTTTTTTTTAATAACAGAAACTTCTCTGAATAAAATTATAATTCAGGATACATTTTTTCCCTACGATAAATAGTTGTGTGCTTTTAACACTGAAAAACAAGATGCAGACATATGATAGAAGTGATTTTAAATTACTAAAAAGATAATTGACAGCATACACGATGACAGGAACATTTCTGCCAAGTCAACTGGAATGCATTCTGTTTAATAAAAGAAGCAAAAGGATGTATGTAAATAGTGAAAGCATTCTTAGTTAAGAACATCATCTGCCATCCTCTTCGTACACAGTCTAATTCAGCAAATTAACTGATTGTTTACTTTGTGTTTCCCAGACTTCTGAATGCCAAGTCCTTTCTTAAAGGTTACTGTTATAACACTTAGAGATTCTGTGAATCAAACGCAGCTGGATTTTTATCCTGTGTGCTGCAGCTAGTTAAGAAGTACTGTATGTTATAAGTGAAAAGCACTAAATATGTAAATTGCATTTTTCCTTTTGCTTTATGACAATTCAGAGAATTCTATTGGCTCCACACATAATCAAATACAAAGATAGCAGGCTGCAGACTGCAGAACTGAGATAGCAAAAAAAAAAAAAAAATCCATTTTGTCCTGTGTCAAGCTAACTATGTAATTTCAATCTACACAATTGCAGTCACGTATTTTGTGTGTGGCTGTGTGTGTCCATGAAGCTGCCTGTATGTGAGGGTTAACATTCACACATGCATTTGTCTGAGCCAGAATCTTTGTTTCTAACAGATTTGGAGGTGATTATACTCACTATCGGTTAACTCCCATAGCCGTGGGGGCAGATCACTGAAGTACTCATGGCTCAGAGCTGCCTGTGCTGACAATCTGTTCTTTGGGAAACACTGGAGTAGTTTGGAGGCTAGATCTTCTGCATGGTTCACACAGCTCAGCCTGAAACACAAACAAGGTTTTCTCTGAAAAACAGTATCATGATGCTGTTTACTAATTCCATCTCCAGTCAGCAGAGCTGAAACACCAAGTCTTAACAGCCAGAAGCACTACCAGGAAAATGATTCCTCAGGGATAAGGCTAGGGAGTTATTAATTATTTCTGTATTGACAGCTCAAAATTCATACAAATTTGACAACTACAGAGCATATAAAATACCATATCACATATGCTCTGCCTACTATGCTAAAGCATCGTGAGCAGCAGCACCTTGAAAGCAACTGTTTTGATACTTCCATTTGCATTTTATTGAGCATACTGACAAACTGAAAATTTACAGTGCTGGAAACAAATGCTTATTACCATGTAAACACATGAAATCCAAGCTTAAAATAACAGCAACATTCACACAACTTTGAGAAGTATCACATTTTAAAAACCAGTGATGCTTAACATGCAACACATTCATCATGTTTCACAAAGACATTTGTCTTTCAGGAAGTACTGACATTTTACTTGTTCATATATTTATATGGCAGGGAATTGACTCTTCATTAAGTGTTAATCCAATGCAAACATTAAATTTAAGTGAGTTATCTTTTTTAAGTTTCCTACAGAAACTGAGAAAGCTTACTGTTTCACTGGAAGCCAAATCCTTGGGAATATTATGAGAAAATATAACATAAAAGTAATAGACATGAAGTGGAGACAGGAAAATGGTAATCAGCAAGATGTGGCCTGGGTCTAGTAACCTATAGCTGAGTCCTAAATTTCCAAAGTCACCAAACTTATTGGAATAGGCAGTCAAAAAAATACATGCTGAATCTTGTTGACATCATGTTGCTATTATTACTGGGAAACTTAATAAATTCAACCATGCCTTTGTTCAGTAAAGGTCTCTCATTGGGTAAATGCCAAAGTTTATAAAAGGTTTTTTCAATGCACTGGTTTCCTAAAACCAGTAGATAATAGACTGCAGTACAAAATGACTCAGCATTTGAAAAAGATTATATTATCCTCTAAAATCAATAATCCCACAATATGTTTCATGCAAATATTCCGTTTTTTTCAGCTCAAGCTGACTTTCCAGAAAAAAACTGAAGAAGATGGATTAAACAGCATTACTTTTTTATTGGGCTGACACGGCATGATTTATATGAATCAGTATAGGTACAGGTGAAAACTGTCTCTTCAACAAAGAACAGACAACACTGAAAACACTAAATAAAAAGGTTACTACATTGAGAAATTTAAGTTACAAATGTCATAGACACAACTTTTTGTCCATGTCCATACCATAGTCAGTGTGAAAAATAAAAAAAAAATTTAGATATTAATTTTAAAGAAAAAAATTAATGGTCTAAAGCATCTATTCTAAATTATATACTGGCATATGTATGATATGCTGATATCTACAATCATTCAAAAAATATGCCACTGGCTGTCTTTTTAATTTCTAGCAACTGTATGCTAGATGGAAATTTGAATACTGTGCCTATCTGATCACTTCTTGAGAACTGGCAGGATTTATGTCCAGAAAGTACCCAGGGATGAATTTCTTAGGAGTGCTGAGCACTTTAAGACATTGTATCTCATCACCCATAATCTTACTGAATTCCCAGGATTAGATTTCAGAATTGCTATTTCAGGTTAAACTGATGCTGGACTGCAGTGTTTCTGATGGGCATATTTTTCTCTCTTTTCATTTTCAGTTTTTGTGATAAAAGAAAAACACTTTGAATGAAAGACTCATTGCTTATAAATTACATCACAAATTAGAATAATTCCAGACTATTTAAACTACCAGATTGCTGAAAATGTTCAGTAAACTTTTGTAATTTCATTACAGAACACAGCAAAATACCAAGACAAAAAGGTTATTATTAACAAAGAAAAGGAGGGGCAAATATTCAAGGATAATTGGTATTAGTTCTTCTACACATCCCAAATTTCCATGGAATGGTGATTATACTGAGTCTGTGAGGCCTGAGTCCTAATCCCCTCTGCACCAATTAATCGTTCAGAGATTCTGTCAAACCATTTCACCAAGGTAATTTTTCCCCACAGAGGTAGCTGCAAGCTTTTTAGGAACCATAGTAAACCTGCTCTGTCTTGAATGAGAACTACTGTGAATTCAGAAAAATGCAGGCATTGAAGTAGTGAAATATTACTCTCAAGTGTAAGAATTACACCATTCCTTAGATGATCCATACATATAATAGAGATGTTAATTAGGTAAGGTAAAGCAAAGCAAAGGAAAATAACATTCAAACATCAACAAATTCTGACTTGCAGGTGAGATCATGGATGACATCTGTAGTTCTTCAAATCGAGTGAGGCTGACATTTTGACTGCATTAATGGTCACCAGTGTACCTGGTACACTGCTAAGATCTTTTTTGCAAGAAATTCACAAAAACTAATTCAAATTGCAACTAATGCAAATTTTGAATAGGAAGTGTTTATAAAGTCAGTCACCTTCCCAGTTTAGACACAAAAAAGATACATATTTACTGAAATCAGTTGAGAAATCAAAGATAAACATCAAATAATCAGCAGATTATTAATTAATATAAAATTTTAAAAATATTTAAGGCTGCAAAATAATCACATCAACTAATTAAATAATTATGAATAAATCAGTCACAATTAGAACCAGTTCTATAATTAATAAAGAGAAAGAAGACTATTCATTGCACAGTCTGCAAAAATAGTTCAATCTGCTATAATTACTAAACCTGTCTGTCCTGATCACATTCCAAGTAGTGCTGGAGGTGTGGAGTTGGTGTTAGTTGTTTGTCAGTGCTTTGAAGATTTTAGTTGCTACATTATTAGTATTATGTTTCCAAGCATTTACAGATTTCAAACTCAGAAGGGACCATAATGATCAAGTGTCATCTCTTGTGTCACACAGGCCAAAGATCATCTGAGTAACTCGTGGATCAAATCACCACTTTCCCCTAGCTCAGCTGTATCTTTAAAGGTCTACATTAAAATTCTAATTTTGTTTATGGAGCTTTGCACAGCAATGAAAAAAATTTTTCTCCAAAACTCATGTCTTCTGCAAAGGTCACTTCTGGCAATCAGTGGCACTGCAAACAGCACATGCATGTGAGCTCCTGAGGTTGTCAGTATTGAAAACTGATGCCTCAGTGGAATGCATGACTAATTTTGCTCCTTTGTTTAAAGACAAGCTATTCTTTACTTATGAAAAATGTACTGTATGATCATGTATTAAAATTACATCTGCCACATCAGAATTGTTTGGAAAACTCTATTTAGTGCAGAACTTCTGTGGTCGGAACATTGGAACGATTGATTTGTTTCTTTTTTTTTTGCGAATATTCTCTTTAAAATAGCCTCCTTAAAACATTAACCATTTGTCTAATTTAAGTTTGATTCTTCAATAGAGACAAAGGCTAAATTTTGTGATGGGGTTCAGTAGCTAAATACCCAATAAAGAAGTTAACAAAAAGAACTGAAGAAATAAAAAATTCATTTTTAAACACACCTCTTTCAGTACGAGACAGGATGGAATTTCATACAATATGGCTTTGTGTCTAAAACATAATAGCATGTTTTGTCTCACAGCAGTTGGGCCATATAGGAACTTGGCATGCATGATATGGCAAGTCTCAATATTCACGCTTCACTTACTGTCACACTAATCACCAAGGAACAGTTACTGGCCATGACAGCATACATACTTTCAGAAAATGTGGTGTACAGGAGAATACAGATAAACCTTTGGCTATATGTAGATATTGTTTTGAGAAATACTGGGAATATTTTTACACACCTACTCTGATGACATTTGTGAAACACATTGATTTTCAATTTAATCCTAGATGCTATATAGCCTTAATTCAAGAAAAAACGAACATCATATGAACCTGTCTCACTTGAAATAAATATGAATCTGACTAGACTTGAGCAGCTGTAAATCTCATTGGATTACAAGAACTTGATTTAATTTCAGAAAACAGGCTTAAATGTCTTTCTACTGCAGAGAAAGGTCAGTATTTGGTCAAGCAGAACATGACTAAGATCACTGAAGTTTGGTTTAAGCTCTTAAGAAAAAAAAAGTTTGGGGCATGTGCAGTGAACTTCTGAACTTGGGGTGATTTGCTTTTAAATGCAGTGAAGAAGGCAGTTCAAATTCACATTAATAATTTAGACAAATGGGCATTAAAGCAAATGCAGATAATATGCTGTCTATATGCTCCTAGCGGCATGAGGTAAATACTTCCCAAAGCAAAATGGTTTACTGCACACGTTTTCCATGTGAAGATATGATTCTTGCAGTGTGTCATGAACTCATTTCTCAACTGGCATTTACAGCAAAGCCTAGAGGAGTGAGGTACCTATTTCAGTTTGGAAATTTCAACTGCTTCTTTTTTCTAAGCAAGCTCCTGAAACCTGAAGTGCTGAAAGACAAAGCCACAGTTAACCTGAACAATCACACCATTTGGCAGAGCTTAAAGTTGAATGAATGAAGAGAAGTAATAAATTGGTGTGAATGAGGCAGGCAACCCTCGCAGCTCATTTTGCAGAGGATGCTCTGGACCCCTCAACAACAGGGCTCCTGTACAGTCCCTGTGCTACCTCACCTCCCAGCACACTGCCACAATGGTTGTATTCCCCATTTTCACCCAACTCTGCTAGAGGACAGCAGCCTTTTTTCCCCTCATCCCAGGCTTTAGCCTCTCCCGAGTTCTGTACTCTGCAACATCATGCATTGGAGTTAATACTTCCTTTGCAAATGCATTCATTGCCTTCTAACCAGCTGATACAGAAATGCCCACGTGTGCCTTGATGGTTTGTACCTCTGAATATAGGCATGATCCTAGTAGCAGCAGCTATGTGAAACACAAATCAGAGCAGGGCCTACCTGAACAGCATTTCCTTTTTACGAGCCCCAGCAGCCTCTTCTGTTGTTACCACCATGCAGAGAACACCTACTGTCTTCAAAGCCCTGACGTGCCAGCTCCAGCGTGCAGCAGC